CCCCAGGTTAGAGTTAAATTATTCACTCTGCTCCTGGGAGATTTCATCTGAAACAAAACCTTTTATCCCTCTACTTCCATTTCATAAGAATGGAGGTTGGGATAAGGAAACATAAAGTTCTGCTCCCACCAAGCTGGTGATGAACTAGACACCATGTGTCGCCTGCCTTGCTGAAAGATCCCGGGGAGATATTAGCAGAGATCACAGCCCTAGAAATGAGGAAAGGCTGGAAGAAAGAAAGTCTGCCTTAGTGTTTTCAGATGGTTTTACTGCTTCTACAGTTCTGGAGTAACTTCTGGTGTTTTCCTGGAAACAAAACAAAACAAAAAATACAAACTGTTCAGCTAAATCAGAGACTCACAAGCAGCTCTGGTTTCCCCAGAAATTGGATGGGGTCTCAATTTTCATAGACCAGCTGCTGCGTGTTGTCCTTTTGGCAGTTGGGTTTCATCAGCATTAATTGCAAGCTGGACCTTGCACAAGGCAATAAACAGTGAGTTCTCTCTAACTGGTTCCTTTCTGATTGGCAAGAAAAGTGCAGAAATGTGTGCCTGTCACCAGACTTTGTAGCATGATCATCCTTGGGAGGAAACAGCTAGGTTGGCTAATAATATGGGCAAGGGAGACTTACCTGTGCAGGAGAGAAGCATGTGAACTTAGGTTGTGTTGCCTCAATAATGTTCACGAGCACTCAACAGTGAGACTGTTAGCATTCGTTTTTGGAAGATAATTAGTGTACTAGAAGTTCACACTCTGGCCTGTTCCATAGATCCATTGTGCGTTGGAGCCCCTCCCCATGTTCTGTGGTGTCTCTGCATGTAGAATTATCCTGAGCTATGGCCCCATATTTCCAAATGGTTCTTATTCCAGTTTGTTTCCCAAGACACCTGTTGTCATCTGAAACTTGACTTGTTCACCTTTGCGACAGAGTAGAGGGATTTAGGTCATTGTTACAGCTTTTGGGTGAAAGCTGCATGCAACTCATTGTTTCCATGGAAATCTTGAGAATTCAGCTGCCTTTCAACCTGAAAATTCAAAGAGAAATATACAGGTGGAGGACAAATCCAGGCGAATTTAAACCAGATTATTGATTCTTGTATGAACCTCATTGAACTGTGAAATGGCTGTGGTTCATACAGCTCTTTTCCAAAGCTTTATTGACCATGGATTAGAGGGCTTTATGAGCCATGAATTGCAGGGCTTTTATGGACTACGCATTTCTAGGCTATCTCATACACTTCCATGGAAATGTTGGGGTGTTTTTTTAAGCTACCAACACAGAAACAAAGGAAATGAACACAGGAGAACAATCTTAAAGGAACATCAAAGGTCTGACTCCAACCTATAAAAGCCAGGAAATCCATAATTAATGGTTCCTCTAAGACTTCAGCTCACACAGTCGTTCGGGTCTGATCTCAGGTTATAGCTACAATCTGAAATGGCCTCGTGAAAAATGAGTCATCATTTAATGTCACACATCATTATTAGTACTTACTTCCAGTTATACCTTGGAGATTGTCCTTTCCTTTTTATTCTGTCTTAACAGCTGAGGCATTTGAGTTGGCACCCCTGAGTGGGCTGTGTGTAGGTTTGTGTGTTGGAGGGTTAGTAATGCTGTGGAGGATGAGAAAGCTTCTGCTCTGTCTTTTCCCCGTCTTTGACAGAGCTAAGATTTGCTGATCTCCAGGGTAATAGGCTACACTGAAGGCTATTAAAAAATAAAAAAGGCTGATGAAATGTGTGGTTTCCTCTCCCTTCTGCCTCCTTCCCCCAAAATCTAAACAAAATTAAAATGTCCTGCCTGGCTGCAGTTGGTGTTTGAAATTGTTTGTCAAGAATCAAAATTAAGTGGAGATTTCAAGTAGCAAGACTTTTTTCCTTAACTACTTGATTTTGCAGAAATGGGCAGATCTCAAGTCCATCTTTGGGAGAAATTTGAACTTAGACAAAACTTAAACCCTATCTGGCTCCCGTAGCCAAAAGCTAGCTGGGACAGCAGGGAGGGGAGGCAAAACCCTTGGGCAGGAAGACTGCAGTTTGGCGGACAGTGTGTTATTGTTCCTG